AGTTCTTTATTGAAGTCAACAATGATAATTCAAAGCAGTATTTGCCAATGTGTTTCTTATAAATATGACCTATCAACACTCTGTTATTAGTAGTAAAAAATCAGTCCATTTAATGAAAATATAGCAGAGATATTCCGATTGTTTTCCTTCGCAAAATGACTTTTAGACCATTGTATATATATGAGTGAATTGCAACTTTTTGGTATGATTGATAGTTCAACTGTATTTCGCTAATAACTTCTATGTGTCTCAACCGATTTAAACAATGTTTTTATATGTGATACCCCTTTAGGCTCCCCACTGCTATACAAAGTTTCAGCTCTCTAGCTCATACTGTCACTGAGTTATAAGAAATTTATTACAAAAAAAATGTCAGTTTTGTCATGATGGGTACTAAGAAAATGAAATTTTTGACTATAAAAGCGCAAGAGGAAAAGGAGATAATTATTCTATTTTGTAGAGCGTCTGACGTTCTATCCAAATATATAACTGATTTTAATCTTCTTTTCCGTTCCTTCGTTCGTCCACCATTAATATTGTTTGACAGACACTTGTACATTTTTATGTAGAGTGACGAAAACATGATTCAAGCTCAGCTTGTGACAGAGTTGGTAGCGCGCAGACTATATCAAAAGAAAAAGGACTCTTCAACTACCAAACTGATGAGAAAACGTTCTCTCTTATCAGATTTATTTGAGGAAAAAAATAGCAAAACTTTCTGAAAAAAAAGGAGCTGTGTACTCACTTTGTAGAGTGACGATTTGAAAATTGTCATCTTTATAACTCCTCAACGGCTCGTTCGATTTCACTCAAATTTTTACAGGAGATACAAAACAAAAAGTTCTACTAGTGGTAAAAATTTCAGCCTAGGATCTTGTACTGTTCAGGAGAAATTTGCATTATACTGAAAAATGTAGAGTGACGCGTTTTGAAAATTACTTTGTGTATAACTCGTGAAAGGCTTGTTTGTTTTCGCTCAAATCTTTACTGTAAATATATTTCTCAGGTTTAAATAACCGGCAAAAAACTCAGCTTTCTATCTCTTACCATTCTCAAGATATTTACGTTACATGATGAACTCTAAAATGATATTTTTCATGAAAATATCGTTTTTTTATAGTACATTTACGTTGAAATAAGTCGTATCTCAGCTAATATGCAGTAAAGTGTTGGAAAACTTTTTCTGTATACTACAGGTATGGAGCTTAATAAGATGCACTACTCAAAAGTTATTTAGGTTCACTTTCATTTTTCTCGTCAATCGTACCAATAAGTTGCAATTCACTCACGTATATATATATATATATGTGCGTGTCTATCGCATCACTTATTTCGTTTACTTGCTTGCTTGTTGTTGTACGATATTGATCTTTATGCTTTGTCTATCATCTATACAAAAATCTAGTTCAGAACAATTCATTCTTAATTTTAAAAAAAGCCGAACTTTTTTTGATTTTTTTTTATCATTATGGTCCAACTTAAAGAATTGCATTTGTATAAAAATAAAAAAAGGAGATTTCTTATACATTAAGCAAAATATTCACCTGCAATATTCTATGCAACTTTTTTTAAGAACAAAAATAAAAACAAACTCTTCATAATTCTTGTTACTAATTTCATTTTGTGTAAAAAAAAACAATTGACTATTAAGACAATGATAAGTAATATTCTCAAGAAAATAATCCACAATTTTTTTTATTGTATCGATCAATTTCAACAATTTTTTTTTTTTTTTTTTCATTGAAAAATTATTTTTAATAATAAGTCAATTCTTATATGCTTAAATCATTAACCTACTGTATTAATTTTTGTAGTCTGTTAAACAATCTCTGTAAGTTTCAAATTTTATTTGAAATATTATTCTTCATGAAAAAAATAGTAGACCAATTGACATAGATATGAGAAAAAGAGAGACAAAAGAAGAAAAAAAATCTCAGCTTGTTTTACTACCAACAATTAATATCATAAATCAATGGCAGACCAATTAATATGTGTGACGAATAACAATATCGATCACTGTGTAGTTGATACATATGGGTGTGTAATTGTATTTGTTAGTCGAAGAACGATAATTGATCAGGATAATGCCATATGTATAGAGAAAGGAGAAAAAAAAAATTAGAGTTTGTATGTATACAGATTAATTAAATTTAATGTAAAATATTCCAAAAAACCTAGATCTAGGATTTCATCGAAAACAATGATATACAAATAGATTTTACTTTATAAAGTTTAACAGTGAAGAAAAGATACGCTCTATTTATGAAATTAGAGGTTATTTGCAAATAAGTGATCTAATTAAATTCGAGGAGATCAAGCTCATGAGACTAAGACCATCGGAAAAAATTTACCGGAACCGAACCCATGGAAAAGAGATGTTACCAAAATCAGAATCAGAACTACAACAACAAAAGAGTCGTTCGAATCAAAACGGAAGATTATAGTTATTTGAAACGAATTGTCTTATGCATCATATCAACCAGAACATAATTCAAAAGAGATGATGTAAAAAGTGCTAGTCGTCGGTTTTATAAGTAAAGAATTTTTTTAGATATAATGTGAATAGATTCTGGAATCTTTTTTTTTCGATACCGGGACCAAGAAAACTTAACCTCGCATGTCTCTACTACAACAGAAAAAAGCTTTTTTTTTTTCGATAGAAGAGAGAAAAGAAGAACGTTCATGTACTGTCTATTAATTAAACGAAGAGAAGAAAATAAGAATTATTCTTATTGGTTAATGATAGAAAAAAAAAAAAAAAGAAAACGTAAAATAAATGTTGCATACATTTGTCAGAATTCACAATTCAAATCTCTCACGTTCGTGTGACTTGAAATGCAGTATTTAGGACAGGTAAGTTGATTAAAGTATCTGTTTTTATTTTGTTAAATTTCACACATATTTCTATTTGTAGTATGAACATGATCAAATTCATTATTATAATCAAGAAAATATTAATATTACTTTACATAATCGAGATTTATGGAATCGATTTCATGAAATAACTAATGAAATGATGTAATTTATCATTTATTTATTTATTTATTTTTTTTATTGATCAAAATATTTTTTTAGAGTTACAAAAATTGGTCGTCGTATGTTTCCAATAATATCAATAAATATTCATGGTTTAGATCCAGATAAAATGTATACAATAGAATTATCTTTTGATCAACTCGATACTCATCGTTGGCGTTATGTTAGTAGTCAATGGCAACCAGGTATGAAATCTGATCAACCAATTCAACATTTACCTTATCAACATCCAGATTCACCTAATTATGGTCGAACATGGATGAAAGATACAATAGTATTTCCTAAAATTAAATTAACAAATAAAATCGATCATACTGGTACATCTCAAGTAAATAAACAAGAATGAAAATAGGAACAAAAAAAAAAAAAAAAAAAAAAAACTTTTTTGTTTCAAAGGTTATACTTAATTCACTTCATAAATATAAACCAAAAATTTCTATTATTGATGTTATATTAAAAAAGAAAATCTATGAAATAAGTTTTAATGAAACTGAATTTATTGCTGTGACAGCTTATCAAAATCAAGAAGTGAGATTGATTTTTGTTTTTCTTCATGAAATGTCTTTTATTGAAAAAATTTTTTTTTTTTTGTTTTTATCGTTTATTTCAGGTCAAAGCATTAAAAATAAGACATAATCCATTTGCAAAAGCATTTCTTGATACAGAAAATATTAAAAAGTAAAAATGAAAATGATGAATTATTTTTTGTAAATTGCATAATATTGATCTCCTTTTTTCTTGTAGAGAAATGACAGATGAACAAGACAATCATTCTTCAATGTTTTGTTCACAAGAATCATCAGGAGGACCAAATCGACTTAAACTTCAATCATATCGATCATCACCTTATAATTATTCTCATTCACAACAAAAATCATCACCAACGAATGGTATAAAATAGTTTCATTTTAATATTCTATTCTTATTTCAAACGAAATTAGCCATAAAATCATTGATATCAACGCAATGTCTATATGTCAGATCATATCAAATTCAATTGCCATTTGAATCAATATAGTGAATTACCACTACCTAGATACTTTTTTTCGAGTGATTCAATGTCGATTGCTGATATCGACGGTCTCAAGAAAACTCTTAGCTAACAATCTGTTGGTCTTACGTAGATTGAAAGAGAATTAACAATTAATATAAAGTGAAAAATGGGTTGATGCAGTACCGATCAATTGAATATAAGTACGAATTGAAGTGTATGAGTCTTCTCTTTGTAATGGTGAAAATCACAACTCTCTATCTTGTTTGCAATATTATTCAAAATCTTGCCACAATTCGTGTTTGAAATGCATAGTAATATATATATAGGAAAAAGAAGTCATTTAATTTTTATTTATAATTGAAATGAAATAGTTTGATGCAAACATCGATAATGATTTGAACTGTAAATGCTTTTGATTTTTTTTTAGTTCTTGCATATCCATCATCGTCAACTTCACCATTTGATTTATCAACAGTCTATCCTACAATACCATCAATGAATATTCCATGCTCATCATCATCATCGCCTCCATTATCAAATGGTATTACTTATAATTCGAATTCATATTATCCACCACCATCTTCATATTATTTTCCTTATGAAACATCATCATCATCATCATCGATAGGTTATTATCCATTTATTGTTCCTTTCAATTATTCTTTAAATCAAGAAACAACATCATTTTTACCGATGTCTATGGTATCAACTGATAATAATTATTTGACTCCATTGTCACCAATAACACATGATATTGGACAATATTAAATAAAATCTTCTCTGTTTATTCTTTATATAGTATATATGTGTGTATGAAAACTATTTTCATTAGTATTTCGAAATAAAATAAAAATCATTCTTCATTGTATGATATAAGAAGAAAAGATTATTATAGTGTTTAATTAGGAATAAATCTAATAAAGAGAGAGACAGATTTTATGAAATGATTGCGGAATAGAAAGCGAATTCACTGAGTTGCTGTTGTCGTCAAATTTTATTATCATATATACTACGATTATAAAAATTTTCGTTTACTAGTTTTATAGTTCAGAGATACTCTTGTCTAATTGTTTTTCAGCATTCTCTCTCTATCATAAGTTGTTGTCAGTTTTCTATGTATCGATTTACATGTGTATGGATGAAATTTTCATTATTTATTATTTATAGATATTTAGAACTGTAAAAATATAATGAGTTCAATGTGATGTCATTAATTTACATTTAAACCCTTCGCGCAATGGAAGATCTTGAGTCTTCTATTATATTCTATTGTGGCCAATCTATATTCTATAATTTCAAATTAGAAGTTCAGAAATAATGCTAGCCACTATCTTTTAAGATTTTCATCTAGAATTTCTGAAAACTAGACATATTTTAATATAAACATCCTAATATAAGTTTCACTATTTCAAGAAATCTATTAATTAACGTAGATATCTTCTATTATGTTCGAAGAATCATTCCTTCAAGAAGATCTTCTATTGCGGGAACAGGTTTACTAGAAATTTAATGTAACTTATAATTACTAACATGTGTTAAAATTATAGAAAAACGATTAGTGAAATCTTTGTGAGATTAAAATATGCAATACGATGTAGCTGTTGTTGCTGGTTATAGGGAAAATTTTTTTTCTATCTATTTTGGAAAACATATTTCTTTACCATCCTTTTATTTAATTCTCTAGAAATGCAATAAGAAAGTCGTTCATATAGGTCTGTGTTGGTCTCTGACTACAGCCTGTGGAGAAGGTGGAATCTAACCTTTCACTCCTATATTTCAACATTCTTTTTAGATCATATTTCAAAAAATAGTGATGATCAACTTTGTGATAATCCGAATACTAGAAAATAGTCAAACTTTACTATTTATGTGCCAGTTATGGTTATTGTTAGATTCCTATGCATAGTTCAAGTCTTGAAAGGTAAAGTTCCATCGCTTGATTTTAATTAGATTCTCACACCTTTTTTTTTTGCATTATGTATGAAAGTTAAATAGCAGCATTCTTTTCGTTTCTCTTCTAAACATATGTTTATGTCATAATTCTTTGCATTTATATTGACGGAACGATTTTAGAATCGCCGATCATTCGTGCTTAAGTAATACAAGAATTGATTGGTTATACCTTTCGATCGTATTGAAAAATACGATTGCTGTTTCATATGATTGAATCAAAAGAAATTATATGATCAAGATATATTAATCGTTGTTCACAACAAGTTATTATTAAAAACTGATTGTAAAGAATTTAAATTCTAATGTAATGAATTCTTGCCAATGTATTAACTAATAATACAAATTTAGAGATGCTACATTTACATGATAATCATATATTTAATTTTGGATGGTTGATATTTATTTAGCTTAATAATTTTCAACGGAAATTTTATAACTTATAACATTCGATCTAGGATCAAATAATATTATAGATGAATGTGTTTAATACAAACCAATCACTAATTCATTTTTATTTACGTAGCCGCGATGGCTTTCAAAACAATATTTCGAATTTCACTGTTGCGATTGCACATTGGATCAGAGATATTGGTACTAGTCCATCAGATTCATTGAGTGTCAGGATGTTTCATTTGTAAACAATGAAATTCTATCAAATTCATGTAGTTTTTCAATATCCTCGAAACAAAATGTTGCCGCTGCTGCGATGACTTTTTAGAAAAACTGCCACTACCACGCTCCTGTCACGATGATTTTTTAGAAAATCTGCCGCGCCGTCATAGACATCTCTGATGTACAATTATATGTTTGTTTGACCAACAGTTTCTTATAGATGAACACGACATGAGATAAAGACTCTCTCAGCTTCAAAGAACTCGTCCTAATGTCTTCTACAAGACTAAGAGCAAATACTCTTGTCAATATATCAAATATGTAATCGTCTATGAAACTTAGATTGAAAATACAATAGTAACAGGATTCATCAGAACATCTTAGGCACAATCAAATGCACTTTATTTAATAGTGCATAGCAAAGAACATATCCATCTAAAATATTGACAGAGAATCTAGTATTTGGACAATAGATCTGAATCTGCCATATGGAATCAATTTTGCGTGACTCTAATCGAGAGAGAAAAGCATTTATTCGGATTTCAGTGGACTTCTATACCATAACTTAGTGGCTTTTAAATAGAAGAATAAATTTTGCCGTGAAAAAAGAATTTACAGTTGAGTTACACAAAGTTTTCAAGAAGATAAATTAGTCTAATGTAAAAATGATCTTTTTGTGAAAATCTAAACAAATAAAACTTACTGTGTCCAATAGAAGTTGTTATAAAAATCAGTGAATCGACCTCTATGATAAAGCAAAGATTATAATATTTACAGTAACGATAGAATGATAATATCTTCGCCATGAATTTCTTGTTCTATTTCTTTTTTTGTACTTAATAATTAACATATGTCAAGAATGATACTGTCTTCTAACAGTCTTTTCTATTAAAAAATTGCAACGAGAAACAAAAGATTTATGTTAGTTGTTTTTTCAATAAGTTTCACGAATTAAAAATAACTTTCGTATTAATTTGTAAACAAGATATTCTGATTAGAACATCCCATTTAATCTATTTGTTATTATTCGAATAGAAAAAAAAACACGCTGATACAATTAAAATTTGAACAATATTGCACAGGTTTATATTAATTAATTTATTGTGTTTGTTTATATGAAAATTCAATTAGATCACTCAGGCCGTTGTCGTTGCATTACGATTGGCGGCAGTAACCGTCGATTTCATTGGGATATTAGTAGAATTTTGAACTTGTACTTTAGACTTTGGGTTAGGTTTTTTTACACAGTAGACAATGCCACCTATTAGAGCAAGCAAAGCAGGAATACCAAGACCAAGTGATAGACCAAGAATTAGACCCAAATTATTAGATGGTGCTAAAAGTAGAAATAAGAATATTTGAAAATAAACTATGAAACATTTTGTTACTCACGTGGAGGTGTCGGTTCATCTGGTTTAGTGGTTGTTGTTGTCGTTGTCGTTGGAGATTGTGATGTAGTCAACGGAGTAGTAGGTGGCTCGGGCACACCTAAACAATTTCAATCATTATTTCTTGCTATTCACGGCTCTGTTTTTCATACTATGTTACTTACTCTGACAATCTCGGTTATATAGTTCAATATTATCCAATGCAAAATAGATTGTTTTATTCGATGCA